CGTTTAAAAGTTTGTTTTAAGTACGAATAATGACCAAAATTATATCACTGGGCAAATAAATTCAATTGTCTCAATTTCTACCCGCTAACTATGTATTCTACTGAGAGAGGGAGAGATTCACATCATCAAAGCTAAAATCTAAAACTATTGATTTTTTTCTGTCCATCAGGTGCTTTCACCCCCATCCATCTGACGATGCAGTACAGAATACAACACAAAAACTACAACTATTAGCACTAATACTAAAATAAAAAAAAATAAAAATCCCCTTAATGGTTTTGCTGGCGGTGGTTGTTTGTTTGCGAAGCGTCGTGCTGCAGTTGAGGAAAAGTGATGGTAAAAAGCTGATACCATAGAGCAGAATTAGTCAGACCAACTTTGCGCCAACTGGCAAACGACGGCAGCCCACAGAGGCAAAAACAACAACACCAAGCAGCTAACATCAGCAACCCCCATGCGAGGCCACAACAGAGGATACCGAGAATTTATCACAGAAACATCAGAAATTCAGAAGAACTTTGTATATAATGTAAATAAGTAGCATATACATATACATACACACATACATACATTCATAGTATATGTATATATAACTATTTACTAGTCGTATATAAAACGAAAGTTATGTATACACATGTATACTCTTATGTACAAATATGCTGTATATAATAGCTGAAAAGAGAATCGGCCAAGGCAACATAAAACTAGCAACACTAATAACAACAGCAACCACTATGCACAATATGTATCTTCTACTGATGACTGCAGTGAAAATCATTTCGGCCGAGTACGCACTTGTTAGGGCGTCTATATGTAGGGTAGCAGTGCTGGGGTGGGTGGTAGTCGCGCAGGTTGTTGCCAAGGCAGAGACATAGGCGGGGATCACATCGAGAAGTGAGCACGTATGTATGTACATACCTATTTTTAGTGTATCTGAAGACTACTACTTGTTGTACGAAATAACAAATTCATAGATTTTTTCTTAGAAAGCGAGAAAATCCAATTAGAGCAGCAAGCTGAGGGATAGAATTCACCTGTCGTAATTGTCGTTATTTCCACTAACACATTCCTGCTATTAGATGTATGTGTGCCTGAGGGGGTGGAAAGACGTTTGTTGGATGGTTGTCAAGGCCTGATGCCGTGACTGTTAGTGCGGTGCGTCATTTGGCAGAGGGTAAAATTGTGAAATCCAAAATTGGAAAAAATGAGCCAGCAGAAGAGGCAGTCACTTACTCATACATTTTTTTTTATATATATATGTACATACATTTGTATATAATTATGGATAATGATGAACTCTTAGATAAGTCTGTAATTTATGTATGTGCAGGGATAGATATATACATACATTATTAGTGAAAATTATTGGAATATTTCCTCACTTTTTGAGTTAACGTAGAAAAACGTGGTAAGCCGCATAGTATAAATACATACACATGTAAGTAGATAGGTATGTATATTAGACCACATCACAAAAAAAGATCAATTTCTTCCAAGCGATTGATTGTAAACGCTTACTATGCCAGTATTTCAGAAAAGTAAAAATTATTTTTTCGACCCCCAGTGAAATCAGCTAAACTGGTTTTTTCTATATCATTGTATTCGATGTCCGATACACCGTTGCAAAGTTATTAAGAAGGCCTACATATTTTCCTCAGTAAAGATTATCCCATTGTGCCAAAAAAAAGTTATATTTTTTTCTAAAAAGGTATCCTGTAATCAAAATTTCTGGTATATGTTAAAAGTTCTATATACAGTCAGCATCAAAAATATGCATACCCTAACGTCTTTGCGATTTTATGTATACACACGTACATATTTTCCATACCAACCTTCCAGCCCAATTTTTTGATTCGTTAGCCCACCCTTAGTTTAAAAGTTACAACAAAATCCAATTTTTTAGAACTAAAAATTAATACTTGTGAATTTCAGTATTTTTACACCCAACCTTTTTTTCGTTAGCCCACCCTTAGTTCAAAAATTATAATTTTAATTTCAATATTTTTACGCCCTCATTCGTTAGCCCAAGGTTAACCTTACGTTATCCCAACCTTTTGTTTGTTAGCCCAACCTTAGTTCAAAAGTTATGAAAAAAAACAAATTTTTTTTTATACTAGATATTTCACATTTGTGAAATGCAATTTTTTTATTTTTTCGTTCAATTGCCAAAGGTAAGGCCAAACTTTTCCTTAGCCCACCCTTGGTTCAAAATTGATAACAAAAATTAATTTTTTCATATTAAAAAATAATTTTAAAACTATTTAGTAGTTTCCCTTAAACTGGAAAAAGCCTTGAAAATTTCGAAAAACTCAAATTTTTTATTGAGATGTCAGGATTTGTATGAAATAGAAAACCGGTTTGTTCGATAAATCGATATTCGAAAAATCAAGATTTCAAAAAACGCCTATAAATATCCAGAAAACCCGGTAGAAACCGGTTTGGAAAACCGAGTCAGTCACCTTAATATGTACATAAGCAAATAAGTCGCAGTCTCAGCCAAAAGCACTCATTTGAGCGCTAGACCTATAGAAAATCGTTTAGTGGTAACCCTAAATGGCGCCACCGACGGACCTAGTGGCTAAAAACATAGCGTTACAACTGCCGCGAGACTTTATGCCTCGGGTTAGCTTGGACTTAGGACGTATGGTCACAGTGGTAAAGCGTCATCCTTGGCAGTACGAATAGTCTGTGTTTATTCCCACATGAGTTTCGAAAGGTCAATTCGACTATTGGGAATAAAACAGGGACGTGAACCGGTTTTGAACCGGAAAACCGCTTTTCTCTATTAATTAACTGAACCATTAACGGAACCGAAATTTTCCACAAATGTTTGATCCGAACCGAAAACCGAACCACTTTCTGTAAAGGTTTAAAGGTTCGTTTCAAACAAATTTCAATAGATAAATGTACCCACTTTTTCTTCATTCTGTTAAACATGGTAATACCTACCAGGTTTTTTTACAATGTGACAATATCAAATGTAAAGGCAGCCCATCTCACTTGACCCTTAACCTTGCGCGTTGTTGCACTTGACACTTGACACTTAAATTTGCGCCTTATTTTTTTGTTTTTCGAACCGTTGAACCGAACCGAAACCCCGGTACAAAGACCAAAAAAACCGCTTTGACGAACCAATCCAAAAGTGCAACAACGGTTCGAACCGCTGAACCGAACCGACCAAATTTTTTATCCGGTTCACGTCCCTGGAATAAAACGATCTGCTCACGTGTCATCAGCAGACAGAATACGGAAACGTACGCACGGTTGCAGCGTTGCAAATCCTAGACAACTTATTTCATGCGGCAACAAATATTTCTTGCGTTCATTTGTGGTCTATATTTGTAATACAAGATTATTGGTCTTCGCCAGAACCAAAGTACATACCTGAATCGCGATCTGAGTAATGGTCAGAGTTGACACATAAGTTGTTATGTTGACACAAAAGGTGGTTATGCCCTTGCAAGTTAGGCATATTTCAATCTGCAGCAGTCCCAATTTTGCCATGCGAGATGATATAATAGAGAGTCCTGAAAGTATCCTAACTACTAATATAGACTTTTCCCTAAGGAGTGCCAGCACATTATTGGCTTTGTAGGATTGAGTACCATCTTGGCAGTCGTCTAAGCTGCTAGGGCAACTCCATTGTTTTAAGTTGCAGTGCCTTATCTACATATGTACATATTAGTGGTGGGCAGTATCGATCCCAAAAGTACTCAGAACTCGATTCTCCAAAGGATCGACAGCACCAGATTTTTTAAAGTATCGATACTGAGTACTCCAAAGAAGTCAGTGCTCACAAAAGAACTCGAAAGTATTCAGTACTCAAAAAAAGGAACTCGAAAGTAGTACTCAGAACTTAAAAGAACTCGAAAGTACTCAGTACTCAAAAATACTCTGTTCCAATAATATTAATTTGAATAAAATAATGCCAGCTTGTGAGATTTCTAAACTAAGTATTGAAATATTACCAACATGTGTATATAAAAAGCGCCATATATATAAATGGATCCCGTTAGGATATAATTTGAAAGTCTAAAAAGCAAATTTATATTGTAGGCAGTCAAGATCGGTAGTTAGCACATAAGTACGTGGGACTGGTCTCAAGGCTTTAAAGTTATTTAAGAGTTCAAGGCAAATGTTATTCATGGGCAAGTAAGCTTCCGCATAATCTGTGACAACCGGCCCAATATGAAAAGTAAATCAGTTTTTTTACATCATAGAGAGAAGGTTTTAGATTACTAAATTTTATGCCCCCTCCGAAAGTCGATTTGCGTTATGAGAATCTTTTTAATGGCAGAAGTACATACGCTCCTATGGAGAGGCGACCGCTAGGTATTAGAAAAAAACCCTTTTCCGAATGTTACTTGTACTAGAAATCGAACCTGAGTCCTACCTGGTTGGAAGTACGTACCTCTAACCAATCGGCTACAGCGGCCAGCTTCACAACTAAGTATGTACTTCAGCTACTTAGATAAATTTGGATAAAACTGAGATAAACAGACAGCTGATAGTCCATTCTTTATTCCAAGCCTATTCTATAGATTTAATCGTTATCAAAATGGGACCCTTGCCGAAAGCTAACCAATTTCATAAGGAATCCCAGCAAGTGTAAAAAATTCATTGATTCAGAATCCATAATGCATCGCCGGGTTGTCCGATGCAGTTTTATGAATTCTCAAACTTGGTTCATTTGCATATTGTGAGGAAGCCACAGCAATCTATTGTTTTCTTTGACTTCCTGCTGTCATTTATTTTCTTCCTTCGTGTCACTGTCACCGAAAGATGGACTACGTATTGGCTCAAGGATTTTGGCAAGAATTCAAGAAACTTCATGCAAATGTCAGCGTTAGCACAAGAAACAAGTTTGCTGTTTGCGAGTGAAATTTTGCACACTTATGTATATATGTATGTAGATTTATGTGTTAGAGTATGTGAATTGCCACCCAACTAACCGAAAATGTTATGAGCTTTTGAATTGCAAATTTTAAGTCAATACGAAAATGGTTTATGAAACACTTTCGACAAGTACAAATCTTACTAAATCCAAAGTTTCCAACTATAATTGTAATGGTAGTGATTAAGGTGAAGGTAATGTTAATGGTGATGGCAATGCTGCTGTTTATGGCAATGATAATTGTAATGGCAATGATGAAGGTAATGGTAATGGTAATGGTAATGATAATGGTAGTGCTGATATTAATGGTAATGGTAATTATGAAGGTAATTGTAATGGCAACAGCATTGGTATTGGTAATGGTGATGATAATGGTAATGCCGATGTTGATGGCAATGATATTTGTAATATTAACGGAAATGATGAAGGTAATTGTAATGGCAACAGCATTGGTAATGGTATTGGTAATGGTGATAGTAATGATAATGGTAATTGAAGTGGTAAATGTAATGAGATAATAGTAATGGCAAAGGTAATGGCAATAGTAATTGTAATATCATCCATTTCGTGGTTGGCTGGGTGCAGTTTTCTACACATATTTATGTACATATGTACCCACATATATTCCACAAAAGTGTGTGTACCCTCTACACAGTTTGTTGGCAATTTCATCTGCAAGGATTATGCAACAAAGTTTCTGCTGCCATAAAACGTTTTGCGACAATTTTTATTGGTGCAACATTGCACATTGCAGCAGCAATAAATTCTGAAATATCTCGCAAATTCTTCCGTTCCGATTGTGCGCGCCCCAGCACGCTCGTCCCTAACGTCCCCATGCGCGGCACATATCGAGCTACATACATAGATGTCGATGAAAGTTGTCGACGAATCGCACAAGCAAAAACGCCTAAATGCAAGCCAAACATTGCGCAACTCAACTGAACAGCACTGAAAGTTAGCTGAGCTACAAATATCCGCAGGCGAATGAACCAACGGAGACAAGAGTCAAGGTAAAGCAGTATACTAAATATATACTCACACAAGTACATACGTATGCACATAACGTTGTCAGATTAGTGTAACGTGGAAATGTGACGGCTGTTTTCTGTTGTTGGTTGGGGGAAATGCAGTAGCTGCAGATTGCAGTTTTTGGAATTTTCTCAAATTGCAAATGCGATAAGTTGGCACAAAATTGTTGCCAGAATACATTTGAGAAGGCGTACCCTTGCCCGCGCCGAACAACCCTTTTCATGGCCCCACATCAAGTAATTTGGTCTGACTTGACTGCTGCATTCGCAACGAATACATAGGGTATATATATCTCGCAGATACACATATTTTGGGACGATTACTATACCTGAGTATGTATGAATGCGTGCATATGTATACATATATGCAAAGTCACACATTGTATATGGATATACAGGTGTGGTCATAAAAGCAGCAGCTATTTGATGTGTACTCCACTGAAAGTGTGCAGCATTTTTTGTGTATCTTTGTTTACCAATGTAGTGATCGAAATTACGGAAAATTTAAAACTACTCTATAAATCAGTACATCCGAGCGGCATAAATTGACTTCAGCGAGCAAAATATTCGACTCGTTTTGAGAGCTTAAAGCCTTACTTGTCTGTTCTTGTTTGGCGCTGTAACCAAAAATCTTGCCAGTCGTTTCTCTTCTGTGCTCACTTATGCACACTTATGACTTCCTCTTCCTATTTTTCCAGAATTGTTATATGGATTGTATATTTTCAGGAGCTGGAGTGTTTTTCTCCATTTGCACGACATATCGAACCAGCAGAGCCGCTGTATTTTATATCTATGTCTATATCTTTTAAAACTGGTACAGCTCATCGTTTCATCGTCAGCGGTGTTCACCAACTCTGACGCACAAAGGCTCGAGTAGGTGAGGTCCTATAAACCGTCAACATTGAGTGCCGAAGTACGAATGCCTCAACTATTTGCTTGATGAGAGGATATAAAAAGTTTTTGGGGTGAATCCTAAAGAAGTTACAGTCCTCTACCAGATGTATATATGTTTGCCAAACGGCGTCGTTCCAGCTAAGTAAACCCCACGGTCGTGAGAACGATTATTGAAAGAAGTCGTACGATTGAATTATTCTGTCGGAAATTTCTATTGGTATCGCATGGCTCGGCGAGGTCCTTCCTTATTCTGACGGAGCTACGGGTTATGCTTTTTTACGCAGCCATATTAGTTTAGCGCGGATACCAAATTCAAACACGTTGGCGTATAGAGAACGAGCTATTGAATGCGGATTTAAAATCGACCAAGAGATGGCGTGAGGCAAACCTCATCTCTTGGACTTTTCCATAATTTTTCGTATTGTGAATATCAAGTCCATGGCAAATTTATTGGGTCTGAATCAACCATGAATAAGGGAAAATCATTTCATTGACGCTGTGCTTTAGCCTTTCATACAATACGCTCGACGAGGATTTGTATAGTTTAAGAGGCGCATAACGCGGTAGTTCGCATATCTGGCAAAGTCACCTATTGTGGATTTTGGGTATACTTACATAAAAATCATTCGCCAGACAGGCGTTTATTGGACAATACCCTCCATAAGTGTTGATGCATGCACCTTACCAACTCTTAGCCACCGTACTTGAATAGCTCAGATGGCAGGCCGTCAGCTACACGAGCTTTGAATGTTTTATCAGCAGGGGAAAATCAATACATACATACTTCATCGTAACTAATCAAGTGCTGAGCCGTCGATTCCGCTTTCCTAAATTCTAGGCTCGGGTTCATCTACTCCTGTGGCTTCATACTGTTACCATACAACAGGGTGGAGAAGTGTTAATATTATTGAAGAGTACTTTCGCTAGGCGAAGGTGTTAGCTTTCGATTGCGATTGAAGCCTTTCGACTTTGAACTTTCCTTTTTCCTGCACACTGGTGAGTGCGTATCTTGCCGGCAACAAGATAATGGTCCGAGCCAATGTTTGGTCGTTGAATCGCACGTACGTCTGGTACAGCACAAATCAGTCGTCCTGGAGTTGGTTTCTTGTTTTTAATCAGGATACTCCCATCCCACTTTGTGAACCATTATATGCTAATCTGACGCTGCGAAACACCATATTTCGGCACCCGGGAGAGTCGATCAACCTTAAGTTTTGTTGTGGAGGTTGAATTTCTCGACCCTGGTATTGAAAGCTCCTACTATGAATTTAATATCGCATCAAGGGCAGCATTCGTAAGTAAGATCTAAACTTTCATAAAAGAGATCTTCGTACGCCTCGTATGTTTCTTTCGTCAGACATAGTCGCAAAAGAGCAAGATATTGAAGAATCTCGTTTTTATGCGCTACTTACATGGTAAATGTAGTAAATGCCGCACTGCTAGGTCCCGTGCGTTGTCTACCTTGCTTCGCACATCATATTTTTTTTGGATGGCAGTGATGTCAGCCTTTGTCCTCGCGAGAATATCAGTCAGCCGGGCAGAGGTACCCTCCCCATTACAGGTTCGGCGATTGGCGCTGCATGCCTCCAATCGCCGTAGTCGGCATCATAAGAAGGAGGACTCATCCGAGGCTTTCTGTTATATTTCATTAGTAGTTAGTTGCACGTGGTGGATCCAAAATTCAGCGCACAACCAGTACCTGGGTCAACTTCATTCTGCATATGCGCATTAGTTAGGGGGTAATCCCCAAATTAGTCATTGCATCGAAGAAGCAGCTTCTCTTGGTGGAACCAAGAGGGATCTAACGGATGACTAATCGACAGATCCCAGGATATTCTCCAAGGTTTGAAAGACTATAAGAATCTGATCGTTGACGTCTATTATATTTTTAGGCCCAAATTATTCATCATCTGAGTCGGTACTTACTTATGTGAACAAAACTGTATATAAGTTATTCATGGTGCTTAAGCGCAAATGACAGAAAAAAGTAAAAGAAAAAGTAACAATAACATTAGCAATTTCAATAGTAGCAAGCATTTATTTTTTGGTGGTTTCGTTTACCTTCCATTGGTTGCCGTGGCGACGTTGATTTTGTAGAAGTTTCGCATCAACTGAATACGGGTGATTATTTGTAGTTAGTAAGCCATATGTGGATATACATATGTACATATACATATGTACATATTTATGTAAGTACGTAAGTATGTATATGCACGTATGTACAAATAAACAAACATGCATACATACATACATATGTATACACATGAATTAAATATGCAGATATCAAAGATATACGGGCGCTTCAGGTGCTTCTACCTGGCTTCATTGGAGGAAGTACGATTGTCGAGCGATTTAGAGCAACGACAGGTGGTAGCGCTACCAACGCCATTACCTTAGCAATCGCTATCGCCATTTCCAGCGTCAACGTCAACGTCAGAGTCCACCACCCTCACCGTGCGCCGGTGCTGTGCAAGTGCTGTATGTATATGTGCAAAACATTGGAATACTTAGTTGCATACATTAGACTGTATCAGAAAAAAAGCTGGCCGGGCACCGACCAGATTTTAATACCTACCACCTTAGTGCAAAGAAGTTAAAGCTGGCCAAAAATCTTTAAGATTTTCTATGGACGTATTTCGATTGGATGGGAAGTTAAATTTGATTTGTTTTTTTTTTGCGGGTGGTCGCCTTTTGTAATTTTTCGACATATCTTCGTCATTTACCGTTGGATCTTAAGTTATGATATTTATATCAGTGTTTTTGTCTTTGATGAGAGAATTTTTTGTTCCAAAGTTCATCGACCTCGACTACCCCGATCGTGTATTATTCACCTGATCACACAGTTCCTACCTCCCAAAAGTATCACTTAAATGTCAGTAAATTAAAGCTCTCCAAAAATCCTTAAACTTTTGCTAGCATATTTTGACTAGTGCAGTAAAACTATAAAAATTATATTTTTGTGCCAAATTTAGGTGTCACCGAAAAATTTAAAATGTTAGGTTAGGTTAGGAGGGCGTGTGTGGAATATTCCATACTTTCACTCGGAGACAGAATTGTCCATTGTGAGTGCCCTCTTTTAGTGAGTGTCCCATACCTATAATCGAAAGAGTAGCTTTAAGTCATTATTCTACTGAACCAATTATTATCCCTGATAAAGCCAAGGAGATCCAAAAGGTACCCCTCCGCCACCTCGCTCAAAATGTTTAAGAAGTGTGAACCCAAGTGCTTGAGTCGCTTCGTCTGTAGACCTGGACATCGACACAGATATTGATGAATTGACTCTTTCTCATCCTCATAACGGCAGTAGAGAGTACTCGTTGGTATTCGCCACCGTTGAAGCATTGGTGCTATACCACACTGTCGTGTGATGACGCCGGCAAGGACTCCTACTGCAGATCTATTGAGTTTCAGTATGTCCCCTGTCTTATTCCTACTCAGCCGCGGCTATAATAATCTTGTGGTCTCACAGTCTTCTGGTTTGTTGCACAAGTCATTTGTCACGGCCACGGTGTACTCATTGATTTTACTAACGTGATCGCAAAACGGTGGTAGTACGGACCTATCCGCTTCTTCTATAGGCATTCTGAGCCGCATCTGGTCATGTCATCAGCCAACTCCTTCTTTTCAATATTTCTATGTCCGGGAACCCAACAGAGTGTGACGTTGATACGGCTTTTATGCCAGCCTTGTGCGACATTTCCGTACGATTCCCGACCACTATTTTAGATCCTATTGCCAACAGTGCTGCCTAACTGTCGACAAAAATAGTGGCTTTGTCTGCTGGAGATCTACTACTAAGCAAAAGACTAGTCGTCCTCTCTATAGCGTAGATCCCCGCTTAAAAGACACTGCCGTCGTTTGGTAGACGAAGTGACCGGTTGATCTGCAGGTCCTTTGAGTGGAAACCGGTTCCAGTTCTTTGCTTCATCTTTGCACCGTCAGTGTAGATGGATATACCCCGCTCTGCTACTGACAGTCCTGCATCCCATTCTTATCTGGTCGGGAACCTAATGGGTGTCTTCGCATTGAAGTCCTAAGCGTTCATTCCATTTATCCAGCCCTTTATTATTTCATTCAGTTTTGCTGCATACCCGAAATTGGTTGCCTACCGTGTTTGCAGCGGTTGCAAATGAAATATCATGTTAAGGCCGTTCCTGAGGTGCGCTACTCACTTCCCCCGATATGCCAAGGCATGTGAGTCCTTGCACTTTTCCTACTATTTTCTTGTTATTCCCATTATCTAGAGTCCTCATCATGCCAAGGACCCGTGGGTTGCAATTGGCCTGATTACTGCGGTTTACATCCCATAGGTGACGTACGGTGATAGTCCCCATTGCTTTCCAAAGGCCCGTTTGAACGTCTAGTATGCTGCTCGAGATTTCTGGGCTCTCTCTTCTAAATTCTTTTTCCAATTTAAAAAAGGTAAAAGGCTCGGCCAAAAAATTATTCTTTTTTCTAAATTGACTTGCAAAAATGCTTTATAGACTCAAGTGTGTACTGTGAACTTTTTTGTTTGCATGTAAGGTGGTATGGTCTAATGTAGTACATACATACATATACATATGTTTTTGTACTTTTGCACGTCCTTTAAATTTTGAAACATACGCATACGGCGAGGGAAATGATTCCTCAACACATATGTATTTAATGCAACGATTGAAGATACGCTGTCTGCACCACCTTCCACAAGTCCATCGGTGGCTATTCTACCACCAATTGCCTTGCCATCAGACCCTGACGAAATCAATGGAGGACATCAGTGCGCAATGAATTTGTGCGAATTCTCAACGATCAACGACGAAAACATTTATTACTCACCAACTACCACCACCCACCACCCACCACCAACCATCATCACTACAACCCACCCAATGGCAGATGACACAAATCTGGCGACGGAGCAGGCCTTAAACGAATCAAAGGCCACGTCATTGTAGGCAACCCTTATCCAGTATAATTTTACTGTATATGAAAATACATACAAATGTACTACATACATATATACGGTTAAGCAAATACAAATGCACGGGTAATGGGCATATAAAATGAGGCGTAATTTACTTGTGCGTTCCTTTCTTCTCGTGAGAGTAATCAAACACTTGTTCGCAAATCAGGGGGAGCGGAAATAGACATTAAATGAGACCACAGAATAAACAGTATACAGAAGACGCACCACATACAAATTTATTTTTCTTCGGCGGACGTAATATTACAACCCGGACCAGAGCAGAGAAGTTAACATTACGACCACTATGAATAACATGGCGACCCGGAACAGAGCAGAGGAGTTAACATCACGTCTACTATGAATAACATGAAGTTAACATCTCGCCATAAACACACATCGTGATCAGCGTTGCGGCGAGCTGGAAAAAAATGTATCAGTTGCCAAGCAGAAAAAGTATCAAAAGCAAACAAAACTGTTGTTTATTAAACTATTATTTAAAAAACAAACAATAAATAAAATTTTATAATTAAATCCATAGTTATAAAAAAAATTATATATCTTCCTTTTGTCTGCTTATTTGCATAATGAAAAACAAACTTATAGGGCCCCTAAACCACACAAAATCCTTGCGCAACCCGAGACTTGCACAAGTCAATATTGTGGAATTTACTACAGCATAAAATTGCGCAAACCTTATTTTGAAGAAACGTTGCTCAAGTAAATATGTGCAAGAAATATGAATGTGCGTTGTACATATTGATAGCTTCATCTTTAAAACGTAAAAAAAAAACTAAATTCAAAAAAATATATTTTTTTCGATATTTCGTAATGTTTTTGTGTGGTTTAGGGGTCCTATAACAGTGGCGTGTGCAAAGAAATTCCGGGTTGTGTTTCCCTTATAAGAGTTACCCAATAAACTTATAAATATCTATATATAAATTGTGAGACTTCAAATAACAATAAAAAAATATTAGCCTTTAGACTAGTAGTACTATTCATAGTTTTCGAAAATTCATTTCTGCCAGCCGAAAGTATCAAAATACGGCATTTGGGAACAAAAAAGGATCAGATATTAAAATTTAGAAAAACAGTATTAAAATATATACAATTGTACCAAAACGGCAACGCTGATCGTGATGGAAAACGTAGTTAACATCTTGTCGTCATAGCGACGATGGAATTAACATCGTCAGCCGAGTGAAAATACTGCTAAAGTAACAAAGGCAGCGCCGCTTGTGATACCCTTGCTTGCCTCACCGCTCGTGCCATAAATTCAAATTGGTTGGATAGTCGACATGCGTCTTCTGTATACTGTTTATTCTGTGATGAGACCCATCGGCTACAATTCACCAGCAGAGAAGTGCAGCCTTTGCTGTTAATGCCGTTGGTGCATATGCTCACCCCTGATTACTGAGAAGGGTTGTTTGTAGCAGGTGTAGAACGTCGGTGGCGCTTGTGTCCTTCACTTTTTACGCAAAAAACCACATTACTGAAGAAATTAGGGGTGACCAACAGTTATACGGTTGAAACCATAATCGTGTTAATTGCGCAACGGAAGTGCTATAGATTACTCTAAAAAATTATTTTTTTTTTTTGGCAAACACAATTTAGATTTTTGAGCAAATTGCACTGCCCCATAAAATATTTTTTGCTGAGGAGCCAGACTAGCTAATTCTTATAATTTTGAAACATTTATAATAGAAGGATTTGTGAGATTAGAAAGAAAAAAAAAATTAAATAAAAAACTTTTTAATATACCACGCTTTTATAAATGGACTAAAAAGTAGAAAATAATATTTCTAAGGCCCATAGAATTTGTTTTGATAACTTTTGATTTTGAAATTTTAGCAAAGGTCATTATAAACAATTTATGAGAGAGACTCGAACTTGGATCTCTTGAATGGCACGGCTGTGCTTTGTTTACTCGACCATTGCGACTATTGAAGCGATGCGAGCTACAAGGGGTGAATGAGAGAGCTCTTTTCCTAAGACTTTTGTGCTAGAATGAAAGAAGTATTTGGAACTATCTTGCCAACTGACTTTCATTTGTGTTACGAAAGACCTTTTACTATCTTGGCCAGAATCGCATTGTAAAGTGTGGCCGAAAAATCAAATTTGTCGATTGCTCTTCGTTTTAAAAAATTGGTACTGTCTTAGGGCATCTTCATCCCTATAAGGCTGATGCCATAAAACAACTAAAGGCATCTGATCATTCACGTAAAGGTGATGCCATTTGGCCATCAAGATCATCCGACTCGACACCATTGGACTTTGTATGAGGCTACTCGGATGGCCATATTTATACGAATAAATTTCAAACTTCGCAGCACTTGAAAATCAACATTTGTCCAGTAATTCCCAAATATACATATGTCAATAAATGGTCGAAGAAATCCAATCAATGGTCCAGAAATCTTTAGACTCACTAATAGACAAAGTCTCTAACTGAACACCGTAGGTTTTAAACAAGAACGCAAGTACATAGAATTGTAGTGATATAGTTGCCGGGATTTATAGCAATAGCCACATTAAAACAGTTTATTCGAGATCATACCATTCTAGAGCCCATGAACGCTGGAACAGCTCTTGGATTACCCGGTCTTTCTGTAAGAGGAAATGCACATCAATGCTCTTAAGTTTAAACAGAAATGAAGTGTCCTTAAGCTAGATACTGACAGCGAACAAATCGAAATTTAACTTCGGCGAGTTCTCTTATATATTCATCCAAGGAATCTTTCATCGTCGAAAAGCTCTCAAGCTGAAATTCTTGGTCCAGCAAGAATTCTAAATTTTCACAGTACCACAACGTGAGAACATATACATCTTTAGAGCCTGCTCCAGATTTTTCATCAGACGGATTTCTTCGCTGCTGCTTTATATGTTCATACATATGTACGTAATTTAGTTCAAAAGAATAAGTGGCCGACTGTACTCAATAAGTTCAAAAGCATAGCCATACGCAAATGGCCCAAAGGCATACATACAGGGGCGCACCCCGGAATTTACTTTTGGAGTGGTTTTATGCTTCTAAAGATATATTACCAGAAAATATTGAAAATTTTCTTCAGATAATATGCTCTTTAAAATACATTTATGCAAGTTTTATATACAGCATGTAATAAATAAATACACTTTTTAAAGTTTCAGAAATTGCACTTTATTTACTAAAATTAACACAGAACTCAGACACCAAATGATCAGGTTTAAATAGCACTCGAATAGCTGCAATTGATTGTAGTTGGCTTAACAAATGAAATAGTGCAAAAAAGCAACAAGAATTCACAAGGCGAACTTAGCATCCCTTGAGTCAGTGGGATCGTCGGTTCGAATCCTACTGAAAGAAGTCTGATGAGGAAATGTGGTGATTTCCGAAAACACTTTTAACCGACATCAAAAAAGTGGGAGCGCTTACCAATTCAACGGAACATTTTTTCTTTTTTAAGATATTCTACTGCATAACTTTGGAGCACGTGAACCGATTTCAATAATTTTTTTTGTCGAAAATATGGTACCTCAAGGGTCGTCCTCAAGGGTAATTTGGTTTAGATCCGATCATTGGAACAGGAAAAAATTAACGACACTCTTAAATGTGTATATGAGAATTGAAGTTGGTTGTGTGCTTTGCTTAAAAATCACTAGTTTAATAAAAAGTTCTATGAAAACAAGATGCGCTCAACTTTCAAAAGAAATAACAAATTTTAAAAACATTGCCGGAAGGTGGCGCCGATGGCAATACCGCTAATCGGCTCTCAGTGAATTTGACAGAATCAGCTGTTTTGCTGACGTCACAGTCGAGATGACAGCAGCAGTGATGTGCTGAGTCAATACTTTTAACAGGTCTATTCTGCACGTTACCGAAGATTTTGTGACCGGAAAATTTTATTGCCAAAAAATTGTACCACTTCTTGTCACCGCGATTCTAGGTACGTTGGTAATGCAGTGAAAATATTCAGCAACTCAGCTATGAAGATTTGTGGAAATTCCTGTATTGCATATTTCACGGGGCAATATTTTGTTACCAGCTTATGAGATGGTAACCAAATTTACCGGTTACAAGAGAGCACAGAATGCGAAAAAGGTTCAAATTGACAGACACTTTAATTACCGGTAATAAAATTTATGTTACCAGCGCAGATTAGACCTGTAAGCATCCAATACTCTCGATACTCGGTACCGAAACATTTAGGTTTCGAATAAAAGCGCACATAGGCCAAAAATATGGAAAAAACGGTTAAGGGGAGACTAGCCCATCAATACCCGAATGTAGGAGCCAATAGAGATTTTAATACTGATTCAAATGAAAGATGTATATTTTTTTCTTGAACCTTGGAACGACTAGGGTTAAAACTGTTAAAATAATATTTCTTTGTTGCGATAAGTTCAAGTGTTTTAGCCGTTGTCATATAAATTAGTAAGGAAAGTTTTTTCTAAACTTAAAATGCATATAATGGCGAAGGTTTAATGTAAAGAATCAGTATCGGGTACCGATAAGGAAGTATTGGGTACCGAAACCTTTTTTAAGTATTAGGTACCGACAATTCAGCACATCACTAGAGAGCAGTTTTATTTGCCGTTCTCAGTTGTCAACTCTAAGGTGACGTCACGCCAAAATTACTCCCACGAATTCTGCTGCAATCGGCGCAATCTTGTATTATATCATTCTTGGTTTGTCTAAATAAATATCATGAATGCTCTTCAGTATACCTTCCGACTCTTTATGGACGGGAGAGAAAAGGGAGTGGAATTTTACAACAGCAATTTCAGACCGAGAAAATTGTTTATTACTCTCTATTTACTATTACTTTAAACTCTCTTGGTCTTCTGGTAGACCAATGTATAGGTATTTAGCTCGAAACCGGAAACCGGCCCAACGTGCGAAAATACACTAGACTTTTCAGACGGTCTTAAATAAGCTTTTTGGAGCTCAATATTTACATACATAATCCAATAACCGATAATCTCAAATATTTATAATAATTAATTTGCCAT